TCCTTTGCATCCCTCGATGGCTGCACCGAAAGTCTCCGGATCACTAAGATCTGCACTGAAGATTTTAAGCCTTTCATCTGCTCCTGGGAGGCTGGTGAGGAAGCTAACGTCTCTCTTTTTTCCTGCAGGTCATATTTCAGCACCAATCATGTTTAGTAAAGTTTGACTGAAAGCTGTGGTCTCATATTTAAGAAATTAAGAAATCCTATCCACCACTGTTTTTAAATTTCTGGTTCTTAAAAATAGCTCGAAATGGAACAAACTGACATAACTAAAAAGAACAGAAATAGCTACTCACAAACAACTAAACCAGCAACAACAATATCTCTGTCCTGTAATAATTTCAATCATTCTTCACTTGTTCAACATTTTCTCAGCCTTTAGATCACTTAATTTATATTCTCAATTACTCTGTGCATAAATTTCTACACTCCCAACAAAAAAAAGTTCTTGATAATTATTAGTAAATTGTTTTCAATTTCAATTAACTTTACAAACACTGTTCTTACCTGGGGGTTCTGGTCTAATAGTGGTATGAACAGTGTAACCCTGCTCAAGAAGCACCTTGATCAGCCACGAGCCGACGAAGCCGGTCCCTCCTGTGACGCAGACAGCTCCTTTATCTCCTCCCATCTGATCTCTATATCTCTCTTCCTTCGAATTCTCTCAGTAATATTTGTTTTGAGGTTTGAGTTTGCTCTTAGCGTCTCGCTAAATTTATAGCCTAATGAATAGAACCTTCCAGTCCCACATGCACGTTTTGCGTTAAGGTTCTCTCCTTTCCAGCCAGCATTTTGGGAGTCACCGCCAAACTTTTCTTCATCTGCATAGGTGTTCTTTTGACTAGTTGCAGTGTCCAAAAGGATCTGCAACGTTTCCCTTCTTGGACCTTAATGCGTATACAATGACGATTCGACGTCACAAAGTAATTAATATATTAAGAAATTTCGCACGGACATCTAATTCTAGAAGTTCAAATGTCACAAATTCTACACGAACAACCCTCCTAGACTCCTTTTAGGATCCTAGCAGGGTTACCAGGCGCTGAAATTGACCTTTAAACGCTCCACGACCAATTGCCAAACTCATGGAATATTATTCAAAATTAAGAATCCTTTTCCAGAATAGTGATTACTTATTTCTAAACAAATTAGTACGGTTTCTAGAATATTGTAGAAATTAAATGGGTCCTAAAGTTTTGGGGTTGTCAGATTTCTAGAAAAATAAACCCAACTTGGAACACTTTTTAACTATTACTAGACTTAAAGGGGCATTGAATATATTGGTACACCTCACACCTTAGAAACTTTTGTGGCAAATAGGATTCTCAACAATCCCTCTCTCTTTACACTTTTATTACAGCATTGAATGGCTCTGGCAAAGATTTGGTGGATACTTTGATTATTTAAAGTACTTCTATCCCATATGGGCGGACACATACCTTGAATTGATATATTGACTAATAAACAAGTCTTCTTTTTGCCCTTCTGCGTTTGGATGTTCAAAAAAGAATACATGGGCATTGCGTGATACGTATCATTAATGTGTATCAAAATGTAAGGGTCAGTCTTCATGGATTTAAAGTAGAATAATTGATAAAATTCGATCAATTGAAACTGATTTGTTTTAGTTTTGGTATTAAACGGTTAGGAAGAGTAATATGTGTAATTATTTTGATTGATTTTCATCAATCAAAATGTAAAACGAACCAATCAATAATTATATTTAGTTAAATATATATATTTTGTATACATAAATAATATTAATATTTTTAAAATATACATAAAAATACCCAATCTATGTCTTTTGGCATATTCTAAGGCTAGCTGTCGTATTTTACCTTGATATTGACATGCTTATGTACAAGCTTGTTGCTTCAACGTAAATCAAGATGACTCCTTGTACTTGACTTCGACATCCCACCGCATTGTCGAACGGCTTTTTTTGAAGCCAACAGGTTGATTGAGAAACCCATCCAATATTTGGAGCCTGGCTGCTGCCTCTGGCAGGTCTGCAACGCAGCCGATATCCCTCTTGCTCTCTGCGGGTGCAGTTTGCAAACCCAATTGGCTTGCGGTGCAAATTTAGAATTAGAGTCCTCTGAGGGGACAGCCACAGTTTCAATGAAAACTAACAAAGAGTGGGCCTAAAATTTTGGCGTTTCGTGGGCAGCTGAAGCCATGTTCAATTTATCACACAATTTTCCGGGTTAGGCCTGGACCTCGCTTAACCCAAGCCTCGTGCATCCTTCTCCTCTGGGGACCGACTCCTTGTGAAGATGAAAAGAGAAGGGAAACATAGAAACTTAATCTTGGAGTTTTTTTTTTGAAAAAAAATAGAAATCTTTGTTATTGTATGATATAATATATTGTATCAGGGCTTGAACCCAAGTAAATTTGGCATAAGAAAGTCTCCTCTTATGTGTAGCGTTGCACATATTTATGGAAAAATAAGCATAAAAAAATAGCATTTTTATTTATTCTATTCTGTCCCATGCAAAGAAATATGATACATGAGTTAAATAAGTACAAACAATTATCCCAAAAAAGCTACTACTATTACAACGCAGTCCATAATTTCATGAAAACACAAGCATCGAAGCATGAAATGCAGCAGAAAAATACAATAATTTTTCTAGTTATTAGACCAAAACAATGAGCTTCATGAACCTCGACGCTAATACTTCTTTCTTTAGAATCCCAAAATCTTCACAGGAAGTGCATGCATCTTCATCCCTCAACAGATTGAATCATATATATCCTCAAGCATTTTGTTCTGGCAATGTAACAAATTGAAACAATTAGTTAATATTGTCGTTGCTGCAGATTTCATGCCATGCATGACGTGGAACTAAGAATGCTTATGCTTACTAGAGTAAGCCTTTTTCCTTGCAACACTTGATAGCTCCATCGTACATATCCTCAACTCCATACTTAAATTTGAAACCTAAATCCAATAGTTTCTTTGATGACAAACCAGGCATTTTAGTACCTTCAATTTCT